GACTGCAGCACCGCCCAAATTTCGACGGAATCAAAGGCTTTCTCATAGTCCACATACGCCAGGCATAGTGGCAAATTGTACTCCTCGGACTTCTGTATAACTTGCCGAAGGGTATGTATGTGGTCTATGGTGCTAAAGCCCTTTCGGAAACCGGCTTGATCGGGAGACTGGAAGTTGTCAAGTCTGCGCGCGAGACGATTCGTAATGACTCTCGAAAACAGCACGTAGACGCGGCGCGCAGAAGGGAAATCGGTCTGTAGTTCTTCAAGAGAGCGTTGTCCCTTTTCTTGAAGAACAAGACCACCGCACTTCTGCTCCACGCCTCCGGTGTAATGCCACCATGGAGGACGGAATTAAAGAGCCTCTGAAGAACTTTAAGTACCGGTTTTCCACCCGCTTTCAGAAGCTCCGCTGTAATTCCATCCTCGCCTGGGGCCTTGCCGTTTTTAAGATGCTGGAGAGCCATTCTAATCTCGCTCAGACTGACGTCCGGGATATCTTCGGAATAGTGTCGGATAAGACTCGCTCTTGGATCGTTACTCACACTTGCGTGTGGCTCCAACGATACGTGTACAGCTGCCCATAGAACCTCTCAATCTCACTCAAAATCTTAGGTGCCCCGGAAACGATGCTGCCACACTCGGTTCTCAGCTTTGACAGTTGGCTCTTTCTGGCAGACAGATCTCTGGCAAAGACTTTGGAGCCTTGGTTCAGCTCGATCGCTTCTTCAATACAAGCTGTATTGAAGTTGCGTAAGTCCCGCCGCGTGCATTTGGAGATCTGTCTGTTCAGTTGCCTGTATGCTGTCAAATCTGTTGAAGAATGTAGCTTCATCTCCCGTCTAACAGCCATGAGATTAAGAGTGTAATCGGAGAGTTTTTGTGTTCTTCTGCGGAGGGTCTTGCAGAACTTAGCTCCGACCGCATGGACAGTTGCCACGAGCTTGTCATTCATATCGTCCACTTCATTGTAGTAGTTTTCTAGGCATTGAAAACGGGTTTGTAACTCGAGCTGAAAGGTTTCAGGACTTTGGAATAGAGCACGAGGGGGACGGAGCGTTGACTTCATTAGACGAGACCTCTCCAACTTAACGTTTAGGTTCAGTGTGCCTCTAACCATTCGATGATCGCTACCAGTTTTCACCGTCGCGATCACGGAGACATCACTGAACAGTTGTCGTCTGGTCGTCATAATTAAGTCAATCTCATTTTTTGTCGAACCTTCGGAGCTCGACCAGGTCCACTTCCTGTGGGGCCGCTTCTGGAAGAAAGAGTTCATCATAAAGAGTCCCTCTTTCTCCATGAAGTCGACCAGCTGCTGGCCCCTTGGGTTCCGTTGCCCTATTCCAAATTTCCCTACTTTCAGCTCACCGTTCTCTCTTGTGCCTAGTTTTGCATTGAAGTCTCCCATTAACACCGTATATTGGGTTTTGGAGGAATGCATGGCTCTAGAGATATCCTCATACATTTCCTCCACCTCCTCACTGTGGTGTGCCGAGGTCGATGCGTAAACCTGTATGACCTTCAGCGAATACCGTTTGGTGATTCTGAGTAAAGGTACGCAACCCTCGTCGACACACTCTCGATCTTTACAACGTTGTTAAAGAGAGACTTGTGGACGATAAATCCGACACCTCCTTGGGACAGATGGTCGCCATCCCGGTGATAGAGCAAGTTGCCGGATCCGAGGATTACCGTGTCCTCCCCCTCTCTTCGGACTTCGGATAATCCTATAATATGCAAGCGTAACTTGTCTATCTCTTCTTCCAGCTCCACGATCTTCTCGTCAGTCCTCAGGGTGCGTGCGTTTTACGTTGCCAGGTCGAGTCGTCTAAGGTGGCAACCGAACCTCCACCGGAGATTCTTAGCACCCCCTGCCCCGCCGTTACCATGGTCGCCACCGTAGCCAGAAATAGCGGGGCCGCCGGGGACTGGGGGCCGTCTCTTTGTTACTCTCTTCATAGGGGGGTATTTGCCATTGTTGCCACGCTTGGCAAGCGGGTTGACAACCGCACTTTTTTTTAATTGTAATTTCCGCTACTATCAGGAAGATGCTGTTGCCCAAATCCTGCTTGTTTCCCTTTGTTGCCTTTTACGACGCTTTAGTAATGAAATGGGTGATATCAAGAATAATTCAGTAGTTTTCACACTTAGTACTGGCTGTGACAAGTAATACTAACTACGAAATTTTGAAAATAGGACACTCGGTACATAATTTGGTCAAGACAACACTGTCGGCCGGCCTGGTGAACTTACCCACCGATGTAATGGCGGGATGGAAGGGAAAGTGCGTTTGTTTTTACCGACTCAAAACAACTAAAGATACCTAAATCTATAACCGAGCGCGAGCGCTTCTTATGAACTTAACACTACACCTAACACTATAAAATAGTAGGCGCTTCATATTTATGAATGACAAGCAATTAAAATAATACATTTACACATATTTTGAATATAGAGGATAAAAAGTAGAAATGTTCCAGTTATTTTTTCTTGTTTATTTTTGGAGCATTCGCTTATGCTATCTATATTCTGAACCTCCTCTGCATATTTGGCCGGTTATTGCAAAATAACCCTGTATAATTAAATGTAATTAAACTTTGAAAAAATAAAGTCTTGAATTTGTATATAAAATATGGGGAAACTTTTTCCACGACTTTATAGTTACGCTCAATTAACACTAACTTCTTAGTCGACTGCGAGAGGCAGAGAAGATTAGTTCTTTATTTTGTAAACCACGAACGTTGTTTTCGACAATTTAACACTTATTTTGTTTAATGTGACTAAGAAAACGCTGTCATTATTTATGTGCGCACTTTGTCATTGTGAATAAAAGTTTATTTTGTTCTCAATGGCGGGTCTAGTAGTACACATGGAAATATGTAGTTACAGACTATTTTTGTCCTAGGACACCACTACCGCATATATTACTACATTCTTATTGTAAGTAGCCTTAATCTAGGAGCTAATGTGTGCACCGTTATAGGTGACACAGCATTACAATGTACTATTTTTTTTTTTTAAATAAGGGTGACAAATATCTACAATATATGGGACGGCCTAGGTTCAACAGTGGTCTTTGGATGGGTTGTATCGGTAACGGTATGTGTATGTACTTGTACAAAAAAGAACGAGTAATTTCGTGTTATTATGACTTAAATGTAACTAGCGATACGCCCCGGCTTCGCACGACTGATTTCTGGATCTGTACAACAGTGCCACCTATCGGGTCCAATTGTGAATCTATACCATCCAAAGATCCACTAAGATCCACTCAAACACACACAAAGAATTTTTTATCAAAACCGGTCCGGCCGTTTAGAAGTTCAGTGACAAATACATACAGAAGATTAAATAAAAGAAGATTATATAAAAGATAAGATTTTGTAATTGATGGATATGAGTTGCGCCTTTATCAAATGTTTGTTTACGGCGATATTACTATCTACTTTCATAAATATCTAATGATTAAACATTGAAAAAATATTGACATCATCATCATTAAGGCCTTTCACAAGTCCACTGCTGAACATATGCCTCCCCCAAGGAATACCAGAAAGCACGGTCATGAGCCACCTGCATCTTAGTTTGAATAAAATAAAATAAGCACATTTCCCATCAATTCTTTTGAAATGTAACTAATCTACTGTCACCAATCTGGGTATTTGACGTTTTAAATGAGATGATGAAACCACCATCTAGTGGAGACTGATATATTTCCAATATTTTCCCTAGTCACGCCTCTTACGATACCATCCTTAAGCAAAATGAGCTTTGAGCATTGTTATTAATAATATATATGATATAATAGTCCATAATAAGTTCGCTGCTTAACCTCCCTCAAATCCTTTGAGGCTGGCCAAAAAGCACAATACTGAGCCCTCTCTTTATGGTAAGTGACTATTGCAGTCCAGATATCTACAGCCAGTTTCGAACAAAGAAGTTTTCAGTTGGGTTGTCGCCTCAGACAACTAAAATTAAATTTGTATATAAATTGAACTAAAAAATAACTCAATAAATATTATGTAAAATCTATATAAATAAATAAAATATTTCTATTTCTTTTGACAAATTAATATACCCAGGGACACTTTAAATTATTAAGTCACCTTTATCACTGAAGCGAAATGAAGTTCAGAAAACTCAGAGGTGTTGCTTGAAGCACATTCTTGTGGAAGTGTGTTCTACAGACAAAGACGAGAATGAAAAAGGAGACGGTACTCAATTCGACTGTATGTGTTTTTTTCTTTTTTTTATGTGTTTTGTTACCCCATAACTTTTTTATGGTTGTACCGATTTTGATGATTCTTTTTTATTTGAAAGCTGGTACTTCTCATGTGGTCACATATACATTTGATCAAGGTCTGACTAATAGTTTTTGAGTTATTCTTAATAATTTATATTGAAGTCGGTTGTACAAATTTTTTAATGTTAAATTATATTAGAACTAGGTCTCACAGTAACTCCACGTCAGTCAAACATTAAAATCAGCTTTTAGTTGTTAGCATGTCATTGTATTAATAATTAATTAATTAATAATCTATGGACCACTGTATCCATTTACCATCGGACAGACTGTGTCTTTTTGTATAAAAATAATTAATTATGAAGAAATAATAATAACTAAATCAAAATAATGAACACACTCAGGAGTAACTTTCAGAAATCCATTATATTACAGATGTTAAAAAATTTATTTGCTAAGGTCCAAGTAACAAAATAAATTGATGTGTCTTACCTAATTGGAAGTGTTTTACCCGCCATCCTCCAATTGCATACACTATCGCCGTCACTACTAATCACAGCTTCACTACTCTCAACACCACTACACTAGGTAAGACACCACCGTCGTTAATACGACACGTGTTTCGCCTCAACACGAGGCACCCTCAGGTGAAGTAGACTCTGTAGTGGCTGACCACTAAGTGGGTAACTTTTCATCGACAGTTTGTCATATTAATTTTATATGTAGTGGTATAAGATAATGCAATAGTAACTCACGGTGGGATTAGGGAGGGGTGTGCGGCGCTCCACATCGTCGAGGCGTCTCCGCAGCCGCGCCAGCTCTTCGACACGCGCCGCCAGCTCAGCCTCCTTGTCGCGCCGATACTTCGCGAACTCCTCCTCTAGCTCCGTCACCTGCAGCTCGAGGCTGGCGCGCTCGTCAATGGTGGGTAGAGCCGCCTGCGCGAACTGTCGCTCGTACTCCCCGATCTTGTTCACCAGCTCAGCTAGCCGCTCGTCACCAGCTCTCTGCTCCTCGTTGAATATCTCCCGCTCCTCATCCAATTTAGTTGACCAGTATTCCTCACATTTATCATAATCTAATTTTAGTTGCTCGTATGTAGACTCCAGTTCGCTGGAAAATACGATCACAATTTACATTTTACATCATTCGCATTTGCATTTTACATGGCTAAATATCTCGGCATGCCGAGATTAATCCCCAAATTTGCTCGCAACATCAAGGCAATGCTAAATTTCTTTGAGATTTCATGGCTCAACTAATCGTGATACAAAATACACGCTTAGATATGGCGTTGCGAAAAATAGCCTGTTACTAAGCAAAACTATCACAATATTACATATTACCTTGAATAAATGCTCTAAAGTTATGCTATAAAAATTACCTTATGACACCCATTAGTTGCGATTTCTCCTCCATATGTGTTCGTTTTGTGCTTTCGAGTGTCTCTGCCAGCTCCGTGGCCTCCGCACAGCGGCAGGCCTCAGTCTGTATAGCAGTTTCTACACACTGTGATGAGGTTTCTCCCATCTCAAGCACACCGGCTTGAATTGTGGCAACAATTCGGGTGACAGTACTACACGATTCACATTTACCATCCATAGACGATGACAATTCTCGTACACGTTCACAGATACTTTGTAGTCTCTTGATTGCTTCATCACGCTGTGCATTTTGATCCATGCTAAGTGAAGATGAATCACACTCCTGCAAAAATAATATTAAAAATTAATGTATATAAAAACAATGTATATGTACATACATAAAAAACAATCAACTAGTAAATTCTCTTACTTCAGAACGATCATCTCGTGGAAGTGAAGCATCAAGTGCAGACTCATCGCGCCATGAAGCACCGTCATTGACACCACCCCGCATTCCACAGGGTCGTAACGGTGCTGCTTCCAGTGCAGCACACAGCTCATCATTGCGATCGCGCAGCGACTTATTCTCAAGGCGGAGTTCGTCGACCAGCGCCTCAAGGCGTGAGGCGACAAGGCGCGATGCCTCTGCGGCCCCCGCCCCACTCTCTTCGGCTGCCTTATTCTCGGCGGCGAGGCGCGCCCTCTCCCGTTCAGCCTGTAATGCACGCTCCTCTGCTGCTGTAGCACGTGTTTCAAGATCTTTCACTCTTTCATGTAGATTTGTGACATCTGCTCGCAACCTTGCTTCAATGTCAGTGCGCCTCGAAACTTCTTCCTCAAGACGAGCGCGCACTGCAGCTGCCCGCTCTCGTTCGGATGCTACTTCGACAGCTGCCGCTCGGGTCGCCTCAGAATGCCGAATTTCCACCTGTCGTAAGCTTGCTTTCAATTCTGCTTCAATTCGAGCATGATTCTCGTCGACGTCTTGAGCAAGAAGACATGCACGACGGTTTGCTTCTGAAAGATCACTGCGCAGTTTGTCGCGCTCGGCGATTGCGACAGATATACGTTGCTGCGATAGTTCCAGCCTTAATCGAACGAGAGCCAATGAAGCTTGAAATAAAAGGTTACGGGGGTCCGCCTGGCCATCAACTGTTGCTAAAAGTGCCTGCAGTTCATCATCCAGCGCACGCTCCAGATCAAGAGGACGCACCGAAGCGGTAGAAAAACCCAGCTCCACAAGCAAGCGCCGCGGCCGTTGCACACCTGCACGCTCCCATACCTCTACCACAGCATCACTCGGAACTGTATTATCAAGCTCTTTTTCAGTAGAACTTAAGGGAACATCATCTGACGGTGTCATGCCGCCACCCAAAGAAGCGGCTATCGATGTGGTAAGCGATGCATTAAGACGATCAAAAAAGTCACCGACAGTAATCTCATTTGTGGGCATGCTTTCAAATATACTGTCCACAAGTTGTCTGTCGATTCCCGTCATCTGAAGACTGCGACATAATGAAAGTGCCCGCTCTCGATCTACACGTTTATCATGATCAAGGTCACCTGCGACATCTTCGGTATCCTCGAAAGCTGTGGAATCTCGACTTTCCATGACAGAAGCACTCCGTTTGCACTTCATTCGTTGTCTCGAACGCTCGCCGTCTAAACGTGAATCGGAGGCTACTCGAGGCCGCGGCATCTCGTCAGATGCAACGTGCTGTGGCCGTGATCTGCGTCCGTATTTCTTGGAGCCAAATACAAACTTTGGTGCGGCTTCACGTCCCGAAGAGTCCTCGTCGCTGTGCGTCGGTGGAGCTGCGGGAGCAGTGGAGGGCAGTGGAGAAGGCTCGCCACCACCAAGCACGGAGAGCAACCCGTTCCTGAACTGCGTAAAGGTGACGCGACCGGAACGTCGCTCGAACAGCGAGTCGACAAGAGCTGAGCCTCGGTCTTCTAGCTGCAACGCATCACACAACTCTTGTACAGAAGACTTGTCTAAGGCTTCCTCGTTATCTACGTCGAAGGTTTTGAATACAGTATACAGCTGTTTTTCGTAGTGATTCATATTCATATGTGTACAATCCATTGATGGAGGTTATAGAATATTATTCCTCGTGCGTAAAGGTATTACTTGAATATTTTTAAATGATCACATGTTGAGTTGTTTCAAAACAAGAACATAACACATAATTTTATATAAATTAAATGTTTTATTCCGTCACATAGCTGAATCCCAGGTCGCTTGTCTTGTCAATTGTCAAATGACAACTGTCAGTCAGTGTCAACCTTACATATTGTCAATATGTCATCTCAAAACGTAGCTAAAATATTGCCTGGATGCAGAAGGATTGAAACTTTGATCAATAGTTTTAAAATACGAATTGATGATTATGGAAGCCTATTTTTATTGCCAAGATTTTGATTTACTCAAAATAAAGATTTACGCAGTTGTATTTTTAAATAAAAACTTTCGCAAATTAATCATTAATGTATTGCGTTCGTTAATAATGGAATAGATCATCATTCTCCAATGCGATGCACAAGTAAATTGGAAATTGGAATGGCCTTGTACCTACCATATCCTTTGTAGTCAACTGAATGATAAAATAGTGATGAGGATTCTTCTTAAATAAGATCGATTCTTAAATCGATGCAAATCGTAGTCTGTTTGTAGTAAATCGTTCTTTCTTCCTTATATTTTTGAGTTTTTAAATGATAAATACAATAACACAAAAAGACGCATTTTTTATCGATTTTTAATTATTTATTAAATTATTTATTAGTTAAATTTAAAGTGAAAAGTAATTTTAAGAGTAGTTTTTAATCAATGAAATCGTCTATATTTATTTATTATAGAACAAAATAATTGTAATGTTCAAGCTTTCTAGGGGTAAAAGTCTGAAAAGTTTAAAATATTATTCAGTCTCTACATGTGAATGCGTTCAATTTATTCTTAATTAGCTGTTCCCCGCGACTTCGCCCGCGTGTAATTTGAGGTTTCTTTTTGTGCGGAACCCTAATTCTATTTCTAAAATTAAAGTAGCCTAAGTTATACCTTATAACATCAGCTATCGGCCAGTGAAAGTCCCGCCATAATCGGTCCAGTCATTTTGGATCAAAAGTCATTTTGGAGATTAGGCGGAACAAAGAGATAAACAGACAAAAATTTAAAAATTGTGTTTTTGTTATAAGTTCCGCATATACTTTTCGTATGCGTTAAGTAAAAAGATGATTTAGCTTTACAAACAGACACTTCAATTTTATTTCTTTGTACAGATATAGATATTCAAATGGTTAAATTAGTAGCGGAGCAAGAAATTCATCTATACAAATAAATAAAATTGAAGTGTCTGTTTGTAATGTTAAAATAACAGCTTTTTACTAAATGCTAATGAAAGTTTATACGGTACTAAAAAACTATTTTTAAAATTTTTGTCTGTCTGTTTGTTCCGGCTAATCTCCGAAACGGCTGGACCAATTTTGACGGGACTTTTACTGGCAGATAGCTGATGTATTAAGGAGGAACATAGGATACTTTTATTTTTATAAAAATTAGCGTTCCGTACAAAAAATTAAAATCCATGAAACCGTAGTAAATTCCACGCGGACGAAGACGCGAGGGACAGCTAGTACTACCTATATCTTAACACGGGTGTCATTAGACGTGACAGAAGGAAACTAAACAGGAGACGGGCAGCAGTAGGTATGAGATATACTTGCGAAATTCAATACCAGGGTTTCTAAGTACGAGTACGTAAACACCAGCATCGAAAACCAGGTTTTAAATACTTGAAAGTATTTGTCTAGTCTAGTCTAGTCTAGTACCAGTCTAGTTCTCACAATTTCTTACTTCTCACCTGCTTATGTCCTGATGCTCGCGACGTCTCCTTGGCATTCAAAATGGGAAATATGTGCGTAGGGAAAATCAATCGTTATTCTATGATAAAAAAAACTTGAAAGTACAAAGTATTTATATTCGTAAATGCGCTGACATTTCACTTCGAAGTGAATCTCTGGTTTTAAAACTTAGTAGTGTAAATTTATTTTATCTCTAGGCAGCAGCGTCTTCCTGATAACATCTAAAATAATACAAAACTGGGGTTGCCTACCCGCCTGCAAAGCGTGGCAATTATAGAATATTCCTATGAGGCACTCTACGGGTAGACCGTAGAAGTATAATATAATTACGTACTGGCTTTTTCAGATAAAAAATGTGTTAGTTTTTATATTCATGGAATAATAGATATTAACAGACAGGATATAATTGTAATAATTGTTATCATGAACTTAAATCTGACGGATCCGTGGCGCAGTGGCTTAGCACTGAGTTACAACGTTGGGGGCCGAGGGTTCGAATCCCGCACGGAACAAGTATTTGTATGGCCTACAAATAATTGTTCCGGGTCTGGATGTTTGTCTTTGTGCAGTTTATGTTTGTAAACTGCCTCTACGATACAGGAGAAAATTCTAGTGTGGAGGTAACGTTTTTAAAAAAAATAATATCCTAAAATATTCAATAGTTTCATAGAGCCGTGGTAGCCCAAACGGTTAGCGCCCGCTGTTAATTTCGCAATACGCGAGCAAACCGGGTCTAATTCCCACCAGTACCAATGAAATTGTTAATTGCAATTTGAAATGCTTACCACGTACTCGGCGGTGAAGGAAAACATCGTGAGGAAACCAAAGTGTCTGAGAAAAAAATAGTATTTCGAAGATATCTGAAGTTCGCAACACGCATTGGGGCCGCACGGGGACACTTCCTTGCCCTAAAACCCTCTCAGATATGAGAGGAGGCCTGTGCCCAGCAGTAGGACGTATATGGCCTGTAACTTTACTTTACTTTTAGTTTTATTGAATATTTTTACAATAATACAAAAAACTAAAACTAAAAACTTAAATTATCATACAGTTTTAAGCCCCATGGTATTGTGTCAAGAACGCTGGCTGCGTTTCCTCCTGCTGACTGGTAATACTAAAAGATCTAGCCCTTTTAGTACCATCGGCGATGACAAGTCGCGGACATAGTTTCTTTAGGAACTTCGCCGCACGTGAACCCATTAACGTTTATTTAAATTATGTTGTTCAATTTTAAATTACTAAATAATAATATATCACAATTATATTTTAATGATTTTAAAAGGTAAATATGTAACATAGAAGAAGTATAAAGAAATCAAATATGGTTATTTAAAAAGATCTACAACCAAAAGGTCTACAAATTCAGAGACGTATTTATATTCAGAGTCAGTACCCAATAGTCGTTCGGCAGTGCAGGGCGCGCGGTCAAAAATACCATGTAGCTACAGATAGGTGACACTTTGTTTATATTGTGCCTCTAATTAAATACTGTAAGGAAACATAGTATAATAACAGGTTGTTTTAATTTTATTAGCAATACTTAATACAATATTTTAACGTTGAACGACAAATAAAATATGCATTTCAATGTTATAAAATATTTTATCATGATTATAGCTTTAAGACTGGGTGTTCCAAGTGCATTAGGTATTTACAAGCAGTCGTGACAAAGATCGAGTCGGGTCGCGCATATGATCGTGATTTTTACAAAATAATCACAAAAATATTGTTTTAAAGTTATAAACAAATACTTACACAATGAGAAATAAACACACAAAAAGTGTAATTATAGTCTATATAAATTCTATAAAACTATAGTTATTTACAATTTATTTTATTTCCTAAATATTATTTACGTAGGAGAAGATAAGTGCGCGCGCAAAAATTTGGTACAGATGTTTCCTCGGCAACGTCCCGCGGGACACTGGCAAGTGGCAAGCGACGTGGGGATCGAAAATCTAATATATTATTAATATAATATTTTTTTTAATAAAAGTAATGAAAAAAACCGATCAAATTGATACCAAAACGAATTGATACCTATAAATTGATATTTTTTTATAGAAAAAAGGACCATTACGAAAGAAGTATTTGGTTTGCAAAAAAAACTGCAATTCGAACGTAGTTCTGTAATTATTTCTATCGAGAAAATTGTATTATATCGTGTATTGATCGGGTGCATCGTAAGAAGAAAGAATGTATGTAAATTTTTTTTCAGATTCTAAATGTGATCATTTGGCTATCAAAAACCAATTTTAAAACGAACAAAAACAGGAAAACTCCGCCTTAATTATAGAGAATACGTATAAGAGAGAAGAATTAAAAGATAATATAAGAATACGTATAAGTATTCTTATATCATCTTCTAATTCTTATGCAATATATTGCATAATTTATTATTTTTATTACTTTGTGAATAGTATTGTATCTAAGTGATGGTATTGTATAGTTTTACCAAAACATTGTCGCAAGTGCGGTCAAGAGTCACTATAATAGTGAAATTTGATAAATGGAATTAAATCTTGTGTGTTTATCAATAAAACAGGGAACTTAAGTGCAAAAAGTTAATTCTGGATGTTTCCTGTTTTTGAAGTAAAGACTTCTTTAGCCACGTTGAGCGATTTTTGGTAGGGGAAAAACAAATGGGTTGGTTTTGCCAATGACCTTGACATGCTCATGTCACTAACATAAGCTATCTATATATCGAGAGAGTCTATATAAGCTATCCATAAGAGCTATGCAACGCGGAATATAGCGGCTATGTACGTGTATATACGCATATATCATTGAATTTTCACTTTTGTCGGCAGTCCTTATTTATTAGGCATATTTATTAGGTTAGCTTATAACTTAGCCATCAAACGTACGTTTACATTGCGGCAGATCGATCCATTGTTTAAGATTGATTAAAATAAATATTTGACCAAGAAAATCGATTCCTTATCTAATCGATCTCAGACCGCCATCCCTAAATCTAAAATTCTATCACAAATTATCTAGAAACACGCAAATCTAAAGGTTTGTGACTGACTGTGACTTAACAATGCAATGCTGTTAAGCTTGAGTTTCGGACTAGGAGTAGGGTAATAGTGTTTTATAGTCATTTGTTTTCTTTAGACGCGACAAAGTCGAATGGAGTTATTTTTTGACTATAATAATATAGTGATTAATATCACAGATAAGAAATAACGTTTTGTTCGTAGTTCAACTGTGGTTGTGTTAGTTTGTGTACACTGTGAAACTGTGATATTTTAGAATTATTTTAAACCGTAGAGAGAGAATACTCCCTCTACGTTTTAAACAGTAATCTATGGTCCTTTCATTGTTTGTTGTTAATTGCTAATTGTTCATAGATAAGAGTGTATTTACAGGAATAGGTACTCTTTGTTTGCTTTGTTGTTATCATAGATAAATAAATGTTGTTATCGTAGTTAATAGTTTTCGTTAGACCTAAAAAATACAAACAATAAAACAACTTGTTGATAAAACAACTATATTAAATAAAGAATTAAACCAAAGAAAGTAACTTAAAAATTTAAATCTAATATCAGTATTTCTAGATTCAAATGGAGCTGTGATCGTGATTTGTAATAAAAAGGTGTAAGATATGCCGTAGTGGTTTTAGTTTCTTGGATGTGAATGACATTGTTTAGGTTGTTTTTGTTAGTGCTGTTTTATTAATTGTGAATTATGAATGCCGTTGAGAGAAACGATAAAAATCGCATAAACATGAATAGAACAAATATCCAAACAAATGGTAAAAAAAGATCAAATGTATATACACGTACCTTTTCGGCGCCACTAATCGGTGTAACTTTGTTGATATCATTATTTCTGATGGTGTATATTGCTATACATAAGAAAGAAGTAAAGCCCATTCCAGTGGAAAATTCTTTAAATTATCTATATTACATGAATAAAACCATGAGAAACCAAGAGATGTTTGATAAAATTTCCAGAAGTGATAAGGTTGTTTCATGTTATTACGCCATACCAAATTCACAAACATCTGACCAATTAATTCCATCAAATATTCACCCACACCTCTGTACTCATATTAATGTTGCTTTTGCACTAATTAGAAATAAAAACATTTATTTAGATAGTGAACAATATAAGACTTTGTCTGAAGTTGTCTTGCTTAAAAAAATAAACCCAAAATTAAAAGTATTGCTCTCTATTGGAGGAGCCAAGAATGACAATGGATTCTCAGACATGGTTATTGATCATGCCTCAAGAAAAACCTTTATTAAAAGTATTAAGGGTACTTTGAGAAACTATACATTAGATGGCATCGACTTAGACTGGGAGTTCCCCATGGTGCATGATAGCAATGTGGATAAACGTGAACGTCAACATTTTTCACAGTTGCTACGTGAAATAAGAAAGGAATTTATAAGAGAAAAACGAAATTATTTGTTGACTGTTGCTGTTGCTGCACCAGAAACAATTGTAGACATAGCGTACGATGTTGACCAAATCAATATGTATGTTGACTATGTGAATATAATGACGTACGATTTCCATTCCTTTACTAAATATACTCCATTCACAGGTCTAAATTCCCCGTTGTATAGAAAAAGCACTGAAATAACATATATGGCTACATTAAATATTAACTACACAGTACAAATGTACTTGAACAAAGGGTTAGATCGGAGTAGAATAGTAGTTGGAATACCTACATATGGCCACTCTTTTACATTAGTAAACGCAAATAATGCAAGAGTAGGCAGCCCAGCTTCGGGGTTTGGTGCATTGGGAGAGTTTGTAAATTATCCAGATATATGTAAATTTATACAAAAATTTAAAAATCAAGTTACCATAGTGGAAGATACTGATGCAAGAGTACCATATCTTTACAAAAACCTTGAGTGGGTGTCATTTGATTCACCACAAAGTGTGACAGAGAAAGCCAAATATATAAAAGAACATAACTTGAGGGGTGCAATGTTATACTCACTAAATGCGGATGACTTTGCTGGAGTTTGTGATTCAAAGCCGAACGGTAACTTAAGGTTTCCATTAGCAGAGTCCGTTAAAAATGTACTCAAAAGTGAACACAATTAACAAATATTTAAATTTAAAAAATTAGAGTGAAGCATTTCACCTATGGATGATTAGATGTGGGCATGAATAATTATTTATGCGTAATGTTTTATAAATGGGTATGTTGGTATAGTTCAATCAATACCTTTTTTTTTCTGGACACATAGGTGATTTTGTACATAGCGCAGGATTTCATATTAGAGAACGTCACGGCGGCTGTGCGAATGGTCACAATTGTTAGAGCGGCAGAGGCGCCCACGCGGGCTCGGCGCCTGCGCGCGCACTGCACTGCGCTCACATGAAACCGCACGCGCCGCAACAATTAACTCACCTTATTAAACTTTTACAGTATGAAAAAAACGCAAGAATTCTCGGCGCCGCTTCGCTTACGGTGAGGGTTTCCAGTTGGGCGGCTGCCTCTTTACCACGCGGAATTCATTAACTGTAGTATAAATTATAATTAATGCTCTAACTGCATTGAGAAATAGTTTAATAATTTAACACTCAACCTTTTGTTGTTAGACCAAGTTGATAAATATTTGTTACCATAAACTTATAATTTACTATAGTTATTGCTTATTATCTATTTTAGTTTATAAATATGCAGATATTTTTATTAAAAAGAAAATTGTATTATGGCTGTGATATAAGTTCAAAGTATAACAATTTTAAAGTAATTGGGAAAGCGTGAGAGGTTATATTTATTTGTTATAATTTTTCATTCCAAATCTCAGATGAAGTAAAAATCATCTGAGTTCCAAATATAAAAATGCATAGGTATAACTGTATGTCATGTTTTATTATAAAAATTCGGTTGCAGTCAAGTTCTATATTATTTTCATAAATTATGTAATTTGCGCAATATATTTATGGAAAGAGGCTCATTTAATATTTTGGTAAACATGATCAGCGTAAACACCTCGTGGGCGCTTGGCATTGAACAGTTGTTCTTGTGGGTGTTAGTTTAACCAAATGTGGTTATTGGTGACCTAACATTTTATTATTATGTAATAAATATATTATTATGTATCTTCCTAACATATAATTTTATACACAATACAATATTATAATGATAAATATCAACTGACTTTTTTTTGTTACACTGTTTTACTTTTAATGTAATAGCAGTTCTTGTGCATCATTGTCTTGTTGGGAGTGTGTTTTGCATTAAGTTATATGCGTTATATGTACTACGTACTAGAGAAGCCATTTCAAACAAAAACTGTGTTCTACTCTGTTTTCGCGCATGCGCGACTACTACTCCCGCGCATGCGCGAAGACTTTAATTTGATATAAAATAAGATATTAATATAAAATAAATATAAGAATTTAATATAAAATATCTTAATTTCATCTAAACAAACAGGTTATATTTCTAAATAAAATGTAATAATAATTATTTTATGGAATTCACGAATCTTCAATTTACGCAATATTTAGTTTGTAGGGATTGCACTACAGTTCAGTTGAACATAGTCAATGTTCGGAATGGCTTCTCTAGTACGTAGTACATATAACTCAATGGTGTTTTGCAACAACTAGAAATATTTGCCATCTGCGTAGGACAGAATTATAGTGCGCGTGTGTGCGAGAATTGGTCCACAGTCTATTCCCCCATTCGCGTAGTCCGATGAGATAGCAATCAGACACAAAAGTAGAGATCAGGCGGACAGGATAGATAGCACCAACGCAACGCCTGTACATGCCTTCCGAGGCACGAGGGTAAAACACCGCCCTCTTTCTGACTTCGGGCTGCTACGGAGTATTTCTTAAATGAAAAACCTACTTATTTCGGTCCGAGTCTGTACCATATAATTAGCAGTCACATTGACAACCACTAAAGCAATGAGGCGTTTAATATTTAAAAAAAAATACTGGTAGCACTATTTAACATTAGTAATACACTCGCAACATTAGTAAGTATGCTTAGAAATGCTTGTGCTAAGATTGGTTCACCACGTAGCACAATAAATAATAGTACTACGTAACTGTAGTCGAATGGCGGTGTGTGCAGTCCGAACACGGCTACTGTCGCTTTTAATCTATATATATATATAAAACACAAAAATTGTTTCTACCTATGTCCGTTATAAACTTTTGAGACCATCCAACCGATATACCTACCCCAAACTGGTTTCATTAAAAAGGAAATAATGCGAACATGGTTTTAGATAGGTATATAGATTTATGTTTTTCCTTTTCAACAAATAAACAAAATGTTTTTCTTTTTTTAGCGTAGTAGCACACGCCGGGTATCCGCTAGCGTATTATATTAATCAAGATTTAAATACTGTACATTCAGTCCTAATACATTCCACACTGCACAGATACTGATAATGGTTCATTAGGCTTGCATTAGGTTGCTTAGCTAAAACTAGGCACAAGAGAGAACGGTGAGCTGAAAGTAGGGAAATTTGGAATAGGGCAACGGAACCCAAGGGGCCAGCAGCTGGCCGACTTCATGGAGAAAGAGGGACTCTTTATGATGAACTCATTCTTCCAGAAGCGGCCCCACAGGAAGTGGACCTGGTCGAGCCCCGACGGTTCGACAAAAAATGAGATTGACTTCATTATGACAACCAGACGACAACTGTTCAGTGATGTCTCCGTGATCGCGAGGGTGAAAACTGGTAGCGATCACCGAATGGTTATAGGCACACTGAACCTAAACGTTAAGTTGGAGAGGTCTCGTCTAATGAAGTCAACGCTCCGTCCCGCTCGTGCTCTGTTCCAAACTACCGAAACCTTTCAGCTCGAGTTACAAAACCGTTTTCAGTGCCTAGAAGACTGCAATGAAGTGGACGATATGAATGAGAAGCTCGTGGAAACTGTCCATGCGGTCGGAGCTAAGTTCTGCAAGACCCGCCGCAGAAGAACACAAAAACTCCGATCACACTCTTAATCTCATGGCTGTTAGACGGGAGATGAAGCTACATTCTTCAACAGACTTGACAGCATACAGGCATCTGAGCAGACAGATCTCCAAATACATGCGGCGGGACTTAGGCAACTTCAATACAGCTCGTATTGAAGAAGCGATCGAGCGGAACCAAGGCGCCAGTCTTTGCCAGAGATCTGTCTGCCAGAAAGAGCCAACTGTCAAAGCTGAAAACAGAATGTGGCAGCATCGTTTCCGGGACACCTGAGATTTTGAGTGAGATTGAGAGGTTCTATGGGCAGCTGTACACGTCATCGTTGGAGCCACACGCAAGTGTGAGTAACGGTCCAAGAGCGAGTCTCATCCGACACTATTCCGAAGATATCCCGGACGTCAGTCTGAGCGAGATTAGAATTGCTCTCCAGCACCTTAAAAACGGTTAGGCCCCAGGCGAGGATGGAATTACAGCGGAGCTTCTGAAAGCGGGTGGAAGACCGGTACTTGAAGTCCTTCAGAAGCTCTTTAATTCCGTCCTCCATGGTGGCATTACACCGGAGGCGTGGAGCAGAAGTGCGGTGGTCTTGTTCTTCAAGAAAGGTGACAACGCTCTCTTGAAGAACTACAGACCGATTTCCCTTCTGAGCCGCGTCTACGTGCTGTTTTCGAGAGTCATTACAAATCGTCTCGCGCGCAGACTTGACGACCTCCAGCCTCCCGAACAAGCCGGTTTCCGAAAAGGCTTTAGCATCATAGACCACATACATAACCTTCGACAAATTGTACAGAAGTCAGAGGAGTACAATTTGCCACTATGTCTGGCGTATGAGGACTATGAAAACACTCTAAGGTTTTTTTTCTTTAATTTCTTGCACATTTTTTTTTTAACTTTTATTAATATCTGTGGCTTGGTTTTTTTTTAATTTTTGTTTAATTAATATAAAATACTAGCTGTTTTTAAGGTGCTGGCGAGCCACTCTAATCTCGCTCAGACTGATCTTTGGCAAAGACTTTGGAGCCCTGGTTCCGCTCGATCGCTTCTTCAATACGAGCAGTATTAAAGTTGCGTAAGTCCCGCCGCATGCAGGGGTGTCACTTCCACTATGGAAGGTATGGAGCACTCCATACCTCAAGTTTTTCAAGGTATGGAATTCCATAGCTGAAATTAGGAAATAAATCGCATATTACTACAAACCCCATATAAATAAATCGCAAGCCCTTAAACCTCAATACCCCACATCTTATAGTTCAATAAATAAGTTGAGTATATACACTGCAAACTCTTAAACCTTAATACCCCACGAGTAATGCGAACAAATTTGAAAATCGCGCCACCATTTTCCATACCTCAGATTTTTACAAAGTGACACGCCTGGCCGCATGCGTTTGGAGATATGTCTGTTTAGTTGCCTGTATGCTATCAAATGTACTGAAGATTGCAACTTCATTCCCGTCTTAACAGCCATGAGATTAAGAGTGTGATCGGAGAGTTTTTGTGTTCTTCTGCGGTGGGGCTTGCAAAACTTAGCTTCGACCGCATGGACAGTTTCCACGAGCTTGTCATTTATATCGTCTACTACATTGCAATCTTCTAAGCATTGAAAACGATTTTGTAACTCGAGCTGAAAGGTCTCGCGACTTTGGATTAGAGCACGAGGGGGACGGAGCGTTGACTTCATTAGACGAGACCTCTCCAACTTAACATTTAGGTTCAGTGTGCCTCTAACCATTCGGTGATCGCAACCAGTTTTCACGCTCCTCGCGATCACGTCATAATGAAGTCAATCTCATTTTTTGTCGAACCGTCGGGGCTCGACCAGGTCCACTTCCTGTGGCGCTGCTTCTGGAAGAAAGAGTTCATCATAGAGTCCCTCATTCTCCATGAAGTCGGCCAGCTGCTGGACCCTTGGGTACCGTTGCCCTATTCCAAATTTCCCTACTTTCAGCTCACCGTTCTCTCTTGTGCCTAGTTTTGCGTTGAAGTCTCCCATTAACACCGTATAGTGGGTTTTGGAGGAATGCATGGCTCTAGAGATATCCTCCTACATTTCCTCCACCTCCTCATCGGAATGTGCCGAGGTTGGTGCGTAAACCTGTATGACCTTCAGCGAATACCGTTTGGTAATTCTGAGTATAAGGTACGCAACCCTCGTCAACACACTCCCAATGTTTACAACGTTGTTAACGAGAGACTTGTGGACGATAAACCCGACACCTCCTTGAGACAGATGTGGATGATAAACCCGACACCTCCTTGAGACAGATGGTCGCCCTCCCGGTGATAGAACAAGTTGCCGAATTCAAGGATTACCATGTGTCCTCCCCCTCTCTTCGGACTTCGGATAATCCTATAATATTCCAGCGCGACGTGTCCATCTCTTCTTCCGGCTCCAGGATCTTCTCGTCAGTCCTCAGGGTGCGTGCGTTATAAGTTGCCAGGTCGAGTCGTCGTAGGTGGCAACCGAACCTCCACCGGAGATTCTTAGCACCCCCTGCCCCGCCGTTACCATGGTCGCCACCGGAGCCAGGATTAGCGGGGCCGCCGGGGACTGGGGGCCGTTTATTAATGTCATTGCTCATGGGGGGTATATTGCTACAGTTTCCCTCTGTCGCCTTTTATGACACCCACGGGAAGATATGGGGTAGTGAGTATTCTTACCCGCCACTACACGGGGTTACTATAAATTAATCCTTCTAAAATGAAATGACGAAAGAACTGAAAAATGAACATTATAATTTTCAATTTATTAAGAATGAAATTATTTAAACATATAAATGTAAGTTGCTTTATTTTGATTTTATTTATTAGTAACTGGAGGTAAAATGATACTACTTTTTGAATTCCACGTTAGATGGCACTGTTTCGATAAAGTGAAACGTGGATTATCGGCGTAATTCAAATGGTTTCGCAACGGCTTAAACTAATTTTAGGATTTATTTATAAATATGTTATTTAAAAAACACATCGATAATCAATAAAATAAAATAGAAATTAACAATCGGATAAAAAGTAGGCTATAAGTTGCCCGGGGTCCCTAACTACCTACACACAAAATTTCATAGAAATCTGTCTAGTAGTTTTTGCGTGAATATGGAATACACAGACAGACACAAAAATTCTAAAAACCACTAATTTGGCTTCAGTGCTCTTTATTTAGTCCCCTGGACTTGTTTTTTTCATAAAATATTTTAATCAGAGACAAGA